GAAGTAACAGTTGGAAAGAGACAGAGAACGAATTAAACTAAGCTTGAAGTTAAACAACGTTGGAGAAACCGGGCCTGAACGCTTAGCTCTTTCCGAAGTAACAGTTGGAACGAGACGGAGAACGAATTGAACTTGTAAGCTTGAAGTCAAGCGACGTTGATGAAAGCGGGCCTTACTCGCTCGCCACGCGCAGATGCTCCTGCATTGCTCGAGGCTCTCTCGCCCGAACTCTCCATCACGCGAGAGGCTGTTTACACCTCGGTGAGGGTTTCTAAGGGATTTCGAAACAGAGTTCCGTCGTATTTGTCTCCCGCGATGTCTAACTTGATGCGAATGGATTGTCCTCGAGATTTTTCTACAAAAGCAAGAAGCGTCTTTAACCTAAAGTTACATCGACACGACATAGATTTCACGCTTGGACGTTAAACGCTCCGTTACCAGATTTTACGGATTCGCGAATAGTTCAAATCCGGTCGAATCCTCCGAATAATCTCTTCATAAACAGCCGAGTCCCTTCGATGTCGGTATTTTTTTTTTATTTTCCCCTCCACGGGGGCGCCGTCAACCGTTAGGGTTAGGTTAGGTTATTTTCGATGTCAGTAGCGCAGGCGATAGGGGCGATAGGTTAGGGACGGATCGCTTCTACTTGAACTACTTGAAGTTGGGCACTGGCGAGGTCGCCTGGCGCGATCGTATCGTATCTAGATAACCGTGTGTCGTGACATGGTCGTGACTCAACGTCGTCAGAGCCGCGTTTGACAGTCCTGCCTGCGTAGGTGCGGACGACGGAAGCGTGAGCGCGCGAGGTAGGTGAGTAACGATTTGCGCGACGGTTATCGAGTCGGTGGATCGCAGAGATAAGCCTCGAATCTCGTTCGACAGAGCTGGTCGAGGCGGTCGAGCCGAGAGTGCCCTGACTTGAGGAGCCCGCGGCCACGCTCGTACGGCAATCCGCGACGGAGACGACGGAGTCCGAGCGACGAACGACGGCGGGATCGTCGAGATGGCCGGCAGACAGTCGTACAGCATCGTGGAGTACTACGCGGAACACGAGGGCTACCGATGCGGCTACTGCAAGAACCCGAACACGAACTTCAGTCACGGTGAGCGCGAAAACTCGGCCGTACGTCGGGGCGGTGGTTAGGTCTCGCTCTCCTGACGCACGGGCCGCGTTCTCTCGGCCAGAGAACCGCGGGCGGCGGGCGTAAGTTTTGAGTCTCATCCCGACAAGTTCACCGCAGGTATGTGGGCGCACTCGTTGACGGTGCAGGATTACCAAAGCCTGATAGACAGGGGATGGAGGCGGAGCGGCTGCTACTGTTACAAACCCACCATGAATCTGACCTGCTGCCCGCAGTATACCATTAAGTGAGTGATATTTGTCACTTCCCGAGGGCCACTCTTGCTTCACAAATAGTTGACTGCCGGTTAACCGGACCCTCTTCTTAGGCCCAGTTGTTCATTTTCTGGCTAGCCAGAAGTTAGTCGCCTCTCCATCTTTTTCTACGTTATTATCTGAGAAGAGACGGAAAGTCGACTAATCTCTGGTTAGCAATTTACCAGAAAATGAAAACCCAGGCCTTAGGCCTGGTTTCATCAACGTTGCTCAACTTTAAGCGTAGTTTGATTCGTTCTTTGTCTCTTTTCAACTGTTACTTTAAAAGGAGGCAAACGTGAATTGAATTGAGATTAAAGTTAAGCGACGTTTGGTGAAACTGGGCCTTGGAGAATAATATAGAAAAAGATAGGGGAGTTGACTAATCTCTCAACAGTTAAACTAACGTCTGTGAAACTGGCTTGAAGTTTGAGGACGAGAGGAGTCTAATGTGTCCACGATACGCAGTCGTAGAGTCATATCGATGGCCGATGACTCTACAACTGTATCCTACAACTTCACAATTTACATGTAGACGAATTTTAAGTCTTGTTCAACTTGGAGCGAAACAATGTGCTAAACAGCGTGTGTGGTTAATGATTTTTAGGTGCGAGGCACTGGATTTTAGAATATCAAAGTCTCAAAAGAAGATCCTGAAGCGTATGACAAAGTTTTTGAGGAACGAACTGGCGAACGACAGCTCTGCAAGTACGGGCGAGGATCAGCAGGATAATATAGGCAAAGTTTTTAGAACTCTGAAGATTCTGTTGAATATAACATTCATGGATTGCTCACTGGTTGTGTAATATTTACAGACATAAGCAACGAAGAAGCGCTGAATTATCCCAAGCATCTGATGAAAGCACAGAAAGACAAGTCTCAGATGAATGTTTCGTCTGTCGACGACGAAGTCGGTGGACGATTGTCGGTGAATCCAGTAAAACCGGAGAAATCGCAGAAAAATTGTACGTCTGTATCGAGTGGCGGTCCAGCGCAGCTATCAAATTCCAGCAACAAGAACGCCCTGCACGTTAGAAGTGAAGTCGCCGACACGGTGCCTTGCAAAAAGGCGAAGCTCTTACGCATAGAACGCAAGAAGAACAAATTGTTGGCTCAAGGCAAATCGCAGAGCGAAATCGAGAGCATTATGAAGGAAAAGAAGCAACAGAATTGCGCTAAACCTATGGAGGAATTATTCGAGGAGGTGTATACCGGATTGAAGAGGTTGGAGGTAATACGACGTCAACGACTAAGCGCCGAAACCATTATTTATTTTGTCAGTTTCTCAATCCTTACGAAGTAGCATTCTTTTTTTTTACTTGTTACACGCGCCGCTTTTGGTATGGTCCTCTTTTCTCCAATTTTTTCGTCGTATTAAAGACACGATGAGAACAGATGAAAAACTTGGCGGTAAATAGTGCTATTTTAATGCTGGCTCTGTCTCGAAAGGTCAATCCGTTGTTACTTTACCGCAAAATTGATCCATATTATTTGTCCACCTCTCGCCCTTTCGACATTCCAGTTTGATTATAAGCTAATCGCAACGAGTTGACACGCATTTCATTACGATAATTATTCGCTTGTTCGGATAGAGACTTGTGTTTTGTAAGTTATTTACTTTTGTAAGTTGAGACTGGTTCGAACTGCGCCGATGAGCTCCGAATATGTAAAGACTTCGAAAGAGTCTTACGAGCTTTACAAAAAGTATCAGAACACAATACACGGACAACCGACTGAGAAGCTCACAGAGCAACAGTACACGAGGTTTCTTGTCAAGTCGCCTCTGAAGGTAATTTCTAGATTTAAATATCCGTAGACAAGCCTATTGTACCATAACTTGAGCAAAAAGTTGTAATGGATAGAAGCCAATTTGCGTTTTCAATGTGATTTTTCATCCTCTGCTGTTGTCGAATTTCGCTTTCTACTCGAGATCGTACAATCTTGTCATGATACATTGGGAAGTTACGTTGGCGACTTCGCGATGACCGAATGAATGCTATGTGCTGTATCACGATTGGAGCAAAGTGGACCTCGCCTCTTAATCGAACAGGGAACTCATAATTGCGTCGTCGTTTCTCGACGACAATATTGCGCTAGATATTGTAAATGTTTTATAAATTTGTCAGATGAAATTGGTGAGAGTGATGACGGACGAGTTCGTGAGCACTCTCGATGCGAGCGCGAGTCTTTATAAAAAGTATCAAATGGCGATTCACGGCGATACACCGGATCAGTGCGATCAAAAGTCATTCTTCAACTTCCTTGTAAGGAGTCCCTTGCAGGTACACTTTGTATCTAATCTCTTTGTGTTTGGTGAACGACACGGAAAGTAGTTTTGAGAAACTTCCTTCTTGTGCATTAGAGTGAACAGAAGTGGTCATTTGTACATAATATTGTTACGCAAATATTATTTGGTGCCTAAACTCAATCAGAACCTTAACCGTTAGTATGCAATAACTGTTACAAAGATAAAGAAATAGGACCTAAAGTAGTGGGATCTGATATTTTGAAGCAATGGACACCCGACAGTGGACCACCTCAAGGATACGGCTCTTTTCACGAGCAATATTGGTTGGATAACGAATTGATAGCGGTGGGAGTGATAGACATTCTGCCGTCGTGCATCTCGAGCGTGTACTTTTTCTACGACCCGGCATATAATCAACTGTCTCTTGGAACTTTTAGGTTTGTAGCCCTCAAAGTTTATTCTCTTAAGCCTGGTTTCACCAACGCTTGCTTAATCTTAGCTCAATTCATTGTTTGTTTCTCTCTAAGGGGATGGTTAAAGGATAAAACTTTAAGATTAAAGTTATACGATGTTGGTGAAACCTTGCAGGCATTTAATCGATTAAAGTGGCAGATGAACTACAATTCAGAATAAATGTGTTGTGCTTCTAGTTCCCTTCGAGAGGTTTATCTAACGAGGCAGCTCAACAAGGTCGCGAGCAATCTGAAATATTATTACATGGGCTTTTACATTCACACATGCCCGAAGATGCGATACAAAGCGAGAATGCGGCCGTCGAAGCTTCTATGCCCGGAGACGTATGTATGGTGTGATATCGAGCCTTGCCTAACTAAACTGAACAACGAAAAGTATAGCCGTCTGAACGACGAGATTAATGCCATCGATGAAAATGGCGTAGTCAACGTTGAAGAGGTATACCTTCTGAGATAATTACAAACCATCGTTACGCTCCAGTCGCAAAAATGCGATCACGCGAATCCTGACAGAATTTAAGCTGTAAAATTCATTAAGTTTTCTTGTAGTATTAAAATGTTTCATCATTCCACTGAAACACTTTCTCCTCAGGTATTGGTATTATATAAAAATATTGCGATGCCATATAAGAAATACAGAATGCAGTCGAAGACGTACCCTTTCTCCTCCTTGGGTGAAGAGAAACGCGAGGTGGAGGAATATGTCAGGCTCGTTGGGATGCCATGCGCGCGAGCAATGCTGCTCTATCGCTATTCTAGAGGGTGATTTGACGCGTGAAACCGATGAACGCTCTACGTCCCAAGGACCGTCCACGTGGAAGGACACTTTAGTGGCTACTTCAGAAATTATTTATCGGCTGATATTTGTGTACAAAAAGAAAATAACGATGAAACTTCATATTCTTAGAATATTATTAATTGTATGTTGTTGAGCAACAGTCTGTGATGCAAGCGATTGAATAATCAAATATTGTAAAATGCGCGTAATAAATTATATGCATTACTCTTCATCGTCTATGAATGACTGTTGAGGAACGTTTCAAGAATATTAATTTAGTTTTATAATAATCATTATTTTGAAGCTTACTTAATCTAACTTTCTTTTCACAGATCCTTATTCTTCTCCCCTTTTCCTTGACACGGCACTCGATAAGGGATCATTGGATCATATAAAGATAAAAAAAGTTCAGGTAAAATGTGTATTTATAATATTATTACTTTTGTCATGTACCTATACGAGATGTTTCCGGTTTGTTAGTTTCGGAATATCCAAAGGCACAATTGATTGCAAAGATAAGATTAAAAGAAATGATAATTTTTTATTTAATTATACACAATTGTGATATAAATATATAAAGATTAATGAAACGTTATCAAACATGAAGATGGATAAATAAACGCAGAGTTGTGCAAAGGAGTACACGATGCAATTATGTTATTCTTCAAGTGTCTTGATCTTGTAGGTATTGTTTAAATATTTCTATTTCGGGCATCCTTTGAATAACTCAGTGTCTCAAATATCTTTTAAAAGTCTTGAATTCCTCAAGCAATCTTCAGTTCAATTTTCTCAAATCCTCCTTAAGAACGTCCTAATTGCTCAGTCTTTTTCAAATGTTTCCTACATTCTTATATTTAGGAACATTTTTGTCCACAATCAAACTTTTCTGTCGTGCCGTTTACGACGTGTCATTTCTAGACGAAGATTTAGAATCCCATAGAATCGTCGGTTAGGTTCGCGCAGTATTGTCGATAGGCTCTAAATTGGTTTGCCCAGCCTCCACGTTTTCCTTTGGTCCCTCGAGCGATCGAAATTCATTCCACTTCTGTATATTGCCGCTACCCCCGAACAGGAACACAACCATGCTCCCAATGCACACAGCGGCGCCGATCCAGAAGAGTATCTGCCACCTGTCGATCGGATTCTAGCACGAGGGAAAAAGTGGATTTATGTTATCTTCATACAAGGATTGCAAGTGCAAAAAAAAAACAAAATGTTTCAATATTGAAGAGGAGAGTGAACCGAAGTATAATTTGCGCGCGAAAAGAATCAAAGAGGGAAGTAATCCTTTTGTCGTGACAACCGGGAACTTTCCGCTCTTTTGCGTGGCTTCCGCTTGCGTAACGTCACATATGTGTCTATTTTCTTCTTCGATTTGGAGAAGAGCGTCCCGTCGAGGATTGCGCGAGCCGCGTGACGATCAAGATTGTCGTTAAAGAGACGTTTAATGTTATGTTGTTTATTCAACGTTCTTATCTACACCTGTTTCAGGTAGATAAGAGAGTCATTCGCGCTTTGTACGCGTCATACTGTCCTGTTGTTATTATGCAACGTCAAACAAGGAACGACAACTTGGGTTGAAGATCTTGACAATCGCAATTAATTATGCGATTACATGAGTTACATAATTGGACTGTAGGTGAGCAGTTTAGATGAAATGAAAATAGATAAAATGAAAATAAAATGAAAATAGATGAAATGAAAATAGATAAAATGAACATAACGGATAATAACATGATTTTTAAGACACGAGTCATAAAGGGGAGTTAATAATTTAAAAGTTAGCTGAACTGAATCAGCGGATCGTTCCGCTTAATTTCGATAAAAATCAATATGTTTTTTTCATTAAAGTAATTGATTTGAAGGCGACTTACCCCGTATTTGCCAGCTATCTCTTCAACTATCGGCGGGATGATCATGCCGGAAGTGCAACCGATTGTGTTCATGATACCATAAAGAAAACCAGCGAAGTTCGGCGCGAGATCTTGATTGTTCGACAGGTTGGAGATGAGGGCGGCGCCGTTGAAGCCCAATGCCAGGAACAGAAATACGTTTGCGAGTACAAAGTCGCATCCAACGTAACCGACCAATATCAGGAAGACGCCCGGTAAAAGATGCGCTAGAAGAGTGAGATTCTGATTATTCAAACGTTAGTCCGGGTTCTTGATATGCTCGATCTGGCAATTTCAGGCTAATGCGAATGTTAATTTTTTTTTAACATCAGTGTTTTCTTGACCGGGTCTGGCAATTTTAATAATACAGAAAATTTATTGCGAAAAATATTACCTCAGCCAGGGTTTGAACCTGGACTTTCCTACACTCTAGGCGGGTGTCTCACCAATTCAACCACCGAGGCACATGATAATGTTAGTCAAGAAAACACTGATGTTGTTAATTACTGCTGGCGACGTTTAAGAATATTCTTATTAGTTGATAAATTTTTTTAATTGTGCGAATACTGATAATTCGCACAGTTCGAAGAAAATAGAGTTTGGCTTCTGTCGCAGTTTATGCCGTTTTTCGCACGGTATGCTTACAGAATATAGTCGCGAGTTTGCGCAAGAGGGTGACAGAGATGATCTGCTTTCTCTTGATGGTATCACCCGCCCAGCTGAAGAAGAATCCGAACAGCATCCTGGCGCCCCACGGCGCGCCAGCCGCGGCGCCGCCCCTCGTCAATTTGAATCCCAGCGCCTTGGTCAAGTACAGCATGAGCGAGTTTTGGTAGAAGAACAGCAAGAAGAGATTCCCAAAGTGGCATATGATCAGACTGATAAACGGCACCGACGTTAGTATCTGCAACATTGGGGTCTGTTTCCACCGTGGTTTCTCGGGGCGCACCGTGCCCGCTTGAGCGCTGTAAAGATCGCGTCGACCGTTAGACCAATTTTGGTGTTTGCGAGAGAAGAATCAGTTGATCTCGCGACTCACGTTAAAATGTAGTCCTTCTCCTCGGCAGTGATGCCCGGGTGTTCCCCCGGCGAGTCATACGCAACCAGTGCCCACACGCAGGTCCACACTAGCATCAGTACAGACGGTACGTACCAGCCGGATTCCCAGTTTATGTTCTCCGCGATACCGGCTATCATCGGGTAGGTCAGTATCGTGCCAAACGTGCCGCCCAGTAGAGACCAGATGAAGCGCGTCCGTTCGTGCGGTGGTGCCCACTTCGCTACCATGGTATGACACGCGGGGAAGGTGACACCGCCGGTGATACCGATAATGATTCTGGAGAACAGTAGCAAGCCCCAATGACATTGTGCCAGGATCGGGCTGATCAGCGAGATCAACGCGGCTAGGAGCGACGTCCAGAGGATTGCGCGGCGCGGCCCGTATCTCAGCGACAGCCAACCGCCGATGAAGTTGCCGGGCACGTTGCCGTAGCTGTAACTGGCCAGCAGTTGGCCTCTCACTGTCGGGGACCAGTCGAACGGCAGACCGCTGAAAAGTGCGAGGGGTGTATCTGGCGATCGCACCACGACCGGCTGCGCTTCGCGGCGTTGCAGCTTCCTATCTCGCTCGTCCTCGACGAGATCCAGAACATATTGGTCCAGGTAGCTGGCAGGATCGAGTGGATTGACGACAACGTCGCGACGCCGTCGAGACTCATCGAACACGCATACACCAGCGATCGTGTGATTGTTCGGCTGCTCCTGGATCATCGGCACCACCAGGATCGGCATTTGCAAGCGGCACGCGTAGCTCGTCCAGCAAGCGGTGAACATCATCGTGCATATCCAGATCCGTATCGGAATACATCCTGCGGAAAGAGAATCTCCAGATATTCTTCTCGCTCGGCAAAGATTTTTTTATCATTGAAGTTGATTTGCAATCGGATGCGATTGAAATATTTTATGAAGAATCATTTTATGATTCGACATCGATTTTAAACAATAAATATGCTAAAAATGTAAGTATTTTCATGTAGTTTATTATCAATATTAATTTTGAATTATTGGCGAACGATCACTCTTTGCGAATAAATAAAATTTTTATCTCATGTTTTAGCGGAGACTTTTTATTTCAAGAGTCTTAACTTGTCTGAGGAAAATTGAAAACTTTTGTTTGTACATTCGTATTTTCTAAGAAGACTATCTTGAAATATGTAAAAATTAGTAGCAAGATATTTCTAACGCTATTGTTAACATTGTTCCAGCTTCGCAGGATACAGGGAAGTTACGATTTCAAATAGGACGTTAGAAAATCCATGTTTGCAGATAGAGGTAAATATTATCAAAATAAACATATTTCTTACTTTTCTTTAATATATATTGTGGTATTATTTTACTTTAATATATTTCAGAATAGAAACACGTTAAAGTCCTTCAAGAATGTTATCTTGGGGGAAAAAAAGGTAAGAAATAGAGAATAACCTGCTTTAATCTAATAACAATCGTCTATATCTCTTGTAACGTTTTGCTCCGTGATTACTTCCGCCGAACACGATCCGTACTTACGTAAAAGTTTCCAGAAAAACTCCGGAGTGCGAATTGGGCGCGCGTTTTCGCGTAACGCCCGCATTTAGGAACGTTCGGAGAAGCGGAAAAATTCGCAGCCGATTGACAGAATTGCGTTGCATCACCATGCCAACTAGATTTGTGGATGCATTTAGTTTTTCTCACATGTCATCGCAAATCTTGAATCATTCGCGTTTACAATTCTGTCGATGTGTTCAGCTTGGCGGAGCCATCGTGCCATTCGCACACTCGTGTACGCGAAGCAGATTAATAATTTAGGAGATTGTAATTACGCGAACTCTCTTCGCGAGACATACACGTGTAGGTATAATTGTGCAAATATTTGTCATCGAGAAAATATGCAAAGTAACTGCTCAAAGTATCCCAAATATTTTACGAATGTATCAAGTTTATATAATTTACCTTAAAATTGGTACAAAGTTTTGAAGCTGCTCGATCCATAAAGATCGTTGCTTTAAAATACGGAGAATGAAAGTCATTAGACTTTGTTAGACTTTGACAATTGTTAGCACGCGTGTGTGTTTAACCGTTGTCTTTTTGTTATTAATAGGCATTGTAACAGTAGCCTTACCGACGCCGCACCATTTGCGTGTATAATTATTTCTTTTTCATTTCTTCTTTCATTTCGTAGCTGTGAGACTTATTGTACATTGCAAGAAAAATTATTATTTTTAGCGTAGTATCGACGAAGTCTGTCGACATTTGACGGTGTATTTTTCGTACTGTTAGGATAACAATTTAGTCAAACGTTAATTGTATTTGATGATGTGCGAAGTAAATTGCGAAGTCCGAGAATGAATAGATTATAAATTGCAGAAATGAATACAAATGGATAAGAAAATTAAGAGTTATCAGTTCAACGGTTTTTTTAACGTAAAACTCTATTGTAATATCTTTAAGTCAAATTTATGAGACAACAAACCTACTTAGATAAATGGTTGTCGGAATGAATCCTAAGTTTTAGGTTTTTGTGTAATGGAAATTAACGGTTTTTGTTGTAAAATGTTGCAGTGTGAAACAAATAAGCAGAGAAAATTTTGACTCACGTGACAGTGATTGATAGAGGCGCAGTTGTAATCTTTGGAGTCTCATTTGGAGTTTCATATCGCAGTTTTAATTTTGGAATTGGCAAACACAGAGAGGCACTTTCCCACAAGTATGTGACGTTTTCAACGATTTTTCGGGATTCTCACGTCGGTCATCACCGTTTGAGTGTCGTTCGTCGTCTAGCTCCGCAAAACAATCATCGAACACGGTGCTTATTTATACTCCCACGCAGGTAACAAGTGAGCCCACTCTTATAACTGTGGGAAGGGTTGGAGAAGAGGTGGGAGAAAAAATTTGTCATCAAAATTCGGTAAATGATCTGCAAATCTCCTTCAACGAGAATCCTCTCAGAACGCGGGATAAATAATAATAGCGGAGCAAATAATAATAGCGACCTTGACATTGAATTCTCTTTTTAAACTGTAAAGATTTCTATCGGGTGTCATTAAAATTGGATTTGCATGTATTGTGAAAAAATTTGCTGTAATGGCTCTCAGAGTTATTTAGATAATGTGGGGCTTTGTTATACTAAAAATATAATGTACTGAAGGACAAGATGATGCAAATACAATTATATAATAATATAAATTCGCTCATACGACGAAAAATAGAAATTTTTACATGGACAGACACAAATAAGTCATACATATGCAATTTTTTTAATTGTGTTTTTATATCACAAGAAATAGTGTAACTGCGAAAAAATGGTTCGAGGACAGAGAACGATGCATAGTCCGTTTTAGTGTTATCGACCCATTAGAAACGTAATCGTGCAAACGTAAATCGTGCGTGTAACATTAAGCTTTTATCTGCGAGGATGACCGATTTACGTGCGTCCTATTATACTTTACATATATGTAGTGTGATATATTTAAATCTGTACGAAGCAGACCTTGACCTAACGTAGCAAATTTTTAATTGCGACAAAAACTATTGGTAGCAAAAATTAGGTTCAAATTTTAATTAAACGTTATATTCTAAAAAGACAGAAATATATTCCATATTTCTATTTGGGAATGTATCATTGACAGCGTAAAAATTGAGATCGTGAATTCCCATTTTACAGTCTGTTCCACAAGAACGTATAAGGCAGTATCTGAAAAATGCCCAGTTCAGAATGAAACTTCAATTCCATTTTAAACTAGAGCTCAATTTCTTAATAAAAGGTCCAGTCGCCTCCGTTGTCGATTGCTACCTGGCATCTTCTGTATGTGCTTTCCACAAGATTTTTCGCCTATTCGCGTGATAGAGAGCGCCATAGCTTCCGAATCTTGGTTGTCGGCTGCTTCAAAGTGAAGACAGGTCTTCCCCGAAGCTTTATGTAAGACCACACGTTTTCAATGGGATTGGCATCTGGGGACGATGCTGGCCAGTTGATCGATGACGCAGCTGCTGCATACGATAGTTTTGGTCCTTTTGGATGATGAACGAGAAACAGTGCCTCAAGATATTTTACGTTCACCTCGAAAAACGTATGTTTACATGAAATTAATACTTAGCGTACCAGTAATGCTGCGGCAAATATGGCATTTTAAGTTTGCGGACAGCATTAGAGAAATGGCGCTGAAGTCATTTTTGACGAATATCCTATACTTTCTTGTGGAACAGACTGCATATTTTATCTGGCGAAGTTATAATTTTTTCTCAACAGAAATAATGTGTTAAAATTTTTACACACACACAGGAAGTTACAAATGGAGGCTTTCTGGGAGATTCTTTTGTCCTGTCCTGACTAAAAGTTTCAAGATGGAGAAGATCCTTGGCTTAGGAGAAGAAATCAAGATGGAAAGAATACGGTATATGGATTCGCTTATTAATTTAATTTAACTGGCTGCTTACATCTATGCCCGGACCTAAACGGCCTCTTTAATTTCTAATTTGATTTTATATCTTAAAGGACCTAAGTTAAAATTGTAGTATGGAGAAGATCCTTGGCTTTGGAAATAACGCATGTCTACTATAAATTAGCTAACGCATAACTGATAAATACAAGATCAGCAGCAGTATTTTATTCGGAGGTGAAACCTTATCACAACTTAATCTGGATTTTGCTCACAGGGTGCAACGACAGTAAAAATGTACGACTTATCGCTAGGATAAAGGCGCGGTGAATCTTCATTCTTTGTCGATTCTCAAAGGTTCCTTTTCCTCCTTTTACTTTTCGATATTTAACGTCATGTCAAATGGAAATGGAAACGAGATTCTCCTTTATAGTATATTTCATTAATGCATTATATTTTTAAGGGGTACATTGCAACACCCCATCATGTCTCCATTTCACCATTTTCGTGGCAATGACATTCGCATCGCGAGCCATTTCCTATTGCACTTTCTACCGGCTTTCTACTCGCTGGCCGGCATAACTTTGTCGATTCGCAATTTATTGTCACATTGTTAGTTGCCAAAATTTTATGCTATGTAACAGTTTGAAAGAGATACATGTCGTTCTCTAGTATACATTAGTGAACACAGTGCATTGACTAAACATTAGCTAAACATTGACCCAATGTCGATTATATTAGCAATGCATTGGTCGATGTTGTCCAACGTAAAGCCAACATTGCACGATAATAATTATATAATATTAGATTTACATTGAAAGTGCATTGGCCAATATTTAACAATGTAATAAAAATATTGGTCTAATATTGCATCAATATTAGAGCATTATTGCTAAATAGACATATTGGCTAAAAGAGAAGTCCATCTTACAATATTGGACCAATATTGGGAAAACGAGATTTACATAATTTCCCAATATCACGCCAATATGTTGTGCTACTTGGGTTTAAATTATCACGGAATGAGATATCTGATATTGTATTTAAGCGGCAGATTAAAAAAGGAGGAAATGATTAAGCGACGCAAGTAAAGATGTGCGCGACTTTGATAAAATCTTTTATTTCTCACATAATAAAATCTTTTATTTCTCACATATCGTTCAGAATGTATATTAATTTTTCTTAGTACAACACACTTTATTCTAATGTTAAATAACGATTTATCGTTATAAGTTCAAATCGCTATAATTCTTTACACGAATGGCAATTTAAAGTCATAGTAATTAAACATTTTTACACGTTAATTGGATTCGAAAATGTGTATCGGAAACGGCGATAAAATCTCTTGAAGCGACTTCTACATTTGTTTTCCTTTCAGCACGCGATGACGTCGGAGCACGGTTGTAAATGTTATCAGCGGTCTCTACTTGACTGTCATCATGGAGTGATCCGGAGTACAACAGGCTTGACAATTAGTCACGACTTGCGGACGGCGAGGAGCAGCGAGTTTTCGTGCCCGACGAGCGACGACGTATATTTCCCCCCCGTTTGATCCCGTTTGCATTTGCATCCGTTAAGGATCGGCGAGCCGCGTCAGGATGAAGGACGGAAATTTAATTATAGCGGAGGCCCTGAAGGACCAGGTAACAGGCCCACATTTTCTCTTCCGCACGGCGGACCTCGACGTGACGTAACAAGTCTCCTGCGGAAACGTTCGATTCCGGAATCTCCGGCGGGCCTCCTGCGGAGGCATCCTGCGTGAGGTCTCACGTGAGACCGTCGCTTTTCAGGAACCTGCCTCCCGACTCGAATACTGTCACGCAGAAAAAGTAACATTGATTTGAAGGTTATGTTCGCCGGCATTTTTGTTTATCACGCTGCTCGCTCCGCGGCGAGGCGGTGAGATCATCCTGACCTTTCAGATCACCGACTGTTGTTTCATTTTTTTATCTAGTAATATTAAGTTAACTTTGTCAATAGTATTATTTATATTGTTTTAATATCTTACCATCGCCATCCCCTGGTGAACATTTTTCGTCAGAATTTTTAAGATTTCAATAACTTTTTTGAAAACGTTTTCAGATTTGTTATACGAATTGGTACACTTTACAGAAGTACTGAGAGAGTTTATGTCTTTTCTGGAATTTTTCATTTGCATGAATTCTGAAATAATATATTCTGAAATTTCTCATTCTATAATTTCAAGCGTTTATGTATCTCAGAATATTCACGTACATGGAAAATTCGTGGACCTTCTCGGTATATTCGGAAAAGTGTACCGATTCGTATAAAGATTCCGGGACAAATGTTGACCGGGTTCGTGATTCTTTTAAATTTACATTGCACCGCTTTGTTGGCCAACAAATACAAATGCCCTCGGTGAAGCACGAAGCGAAAATAAAGGCACGCGGTAGGCAAGGCAGAAGAAATAATTAACACTTTGTGTAATATCTTCCGACCGCAGATACGTAACGTATCGAGTGAACGATAATTTGTATCTCTTGCACCAGCCGGAGACTCGATACGCTCGAAAAGTCGAGATGATGATACGATTTGATGTAACAATCGTTGACAGCGGATGTCGGAGTGAGTCGGGGATAAGACTCATTTTGCAAAGCCACCCGTTGCCACTCGGATTCGTATCCGCGGCGCGATGTAAGCGACTTTGCGCTCGCGCGCGCGTTCTTATCACATAAATCAAATTCGTTCATGCAGCGCTAATGCAGATCGGCTCTTATCGCGGTCGTGTAATCAACACTTACGCTTTCTCGGCGGTGCAATTAACGGCGTACGCTCGTCGCGCTCTTGATCCATGCCGGATATGCGCTCGCCGAACGTTATTCACCCGCAAATGGATCGCTGAGGCTGTCGAGCTACTCCGTAGCCGCGACAATAAACGCGGAGTCCGCGTCTCGTTTCCATTCCGTGTGGGTTCATCGGGGCCGTGCATTATCAATTCCCCTGATAAATACACGTTTACACACTGCTCGTCACATTATAGGCCGATCCCTCGGTGTTCAATGTCTTTGGAGAAAATTAATGGACGCGGGGCGAAGAGGAGAAGAGATTGGACTAAATGGAATAAAAATGTGAACGGAGACTTGCTAGCTTAGATTGTCTTCCAAAGCACGTTCAGTCACGGCTTTTACCAAGCCTGTCGATGTATCTCTTAAGGGGTTACATCTATCAGACGTCTCTTAAAGGCTGGTCTACAATACATGGAGTAAGCTGGAGTAAGCTGGAGTAAGGAGTAGGAGTAAGAAAATAAAATGGATTTATTTCTTACTCCTACTCCTTACTCCAGCTTACTCCATGTATTGTAGACCAGCCTTAAAATAGACCTTTTTTCGGGAATTTTTTTTCCCATGAAGCAATAAAACAATCAAAATGCAGTATAAAGGGTTCATTATACATATAATAAGGTGTACAAAAAAATTTTTTGTTTAATATTTTTTTCCAAAATGCCCGCAGTACAGACGGTTGAAGTACAGTTTCTTTTTCTGGAAGAGGTCTGCGGCAAGATGAATAACATTTTTCCATTTGCACCTAGGACTAAATAAAAAATTTTTTCGTAATCTACACTAAATTTGTCAGAGAAGTACACATGATTATTAACCAAACTTAATTTTTCGCAAGTAGACATAAATTTGAACTTTTTTTTTCGTTTTTTAGCAAAAATTTGACGTTTAAACGTTTATAAAAAACATAATTGTTAATCAATCATTAAAATCGTGTGTACTTCTCTTTAAAATATATCTAAGAAGCTACAGTTTAAATTTCAAGTCGATCGGATAAAAATTGCAAAAGTTATTCATCTTGCAGACACTGTACTTCAACCGTCTGTACTGCGGCCATTTTGGAAAAAAATATTAAACAAAAAATTTTTTTATACACCTCATTATATGTATAATGAACCCTTCATACAGCATTTTGATTGTTTTATTGCTTTATGGGAAAAAAATCCCCGAAAAAAGGTCTATTTTAAGAGACGTCTGATAGATGTAACCCCTTAAGCGTAGAAAGTACGCAAAAATAGGAGTTCTATATGTGCATTATATAATGTTGAGTTAATTTAATTTCAAGTAAATTGAATGAAATGTACACGCAGATATTTGATTATAGCCGCGTTATTCTGGGATAACATTTTCTTACGCTATATTATGTACTGCGAACAGGGCCTGACTTATGTCTTCGGCATCATGGGGCACCCCGTGATCGATCTGGCACTAACGATGCAATCCATCGGTATGCAGTACCTGGGTTTCAGAAACGAGCAGGCCGCCTGTTACGCCGCGCAAGCTTACGGATATTTGACGAGTAAGTGGACATTTTTTAGACATATAAATCGAAAACTTCATTACGTCCGAGAAGAAACCGGCGCGCAGAACAAATGTGGAAAGAAACGGTGTATGAATTCACATTTTCAAAATAGAAAAAAATTACAAGCTGGGCTACCTACATCTTGCCTCGTGATCCGCATTGGCGTTTTCTTCTATGTTGTTTAGCTTCAGTTAGGGGTCTTACTTGAAGTTTATTATTAAATCGTATGCGTGTCAATATTAATGTATGCGTATACAATATATATAATTTATAAAATTTTCCTCTCCAGAGAAACCTGCGGTGGTATTGTGCGTCTCTGGTCCCGGATTGCTGCACGTTATTGGCGGTATGGCAAACGCGCAAGTAAACTGTTGGTGAGCATTGTCACGCGATTTGCAGTATCTTGATAACTTGTCGAAATCATGTTAAACGCGGTACATTATCGACAATAACCGTGGGAGAATAAAGCATCGTCGGAACATGAAACATCGTGGCGCTCGTGTGCGCGCGGTGTGACACACGGGGCTGTGTAATGTACAATAGAATCTCGATGGAACGGAAGTGAGTTAATTAATTATTTTTTCGTATCTCACGGTGGGATCGACACGTGCGGCAATTTTCGACGCAACTTTGTTTATTGCGTGTCTAGGAAACCGTCGTGGAAATTGTTCGTCCAACTGCCGTCTGACTTGTGATTACGATCTGATTGCATTGAAATCACGGCGATGCATCGAGACAATTACGTCATCGCCGTGGCCTGTGGATTTTTCCTTGTAAAAACATTGGACTCGGCCGTGCGATGCGGTTTTTGCTATCTTTAAAAATTATACAAAATTGTCGATTTGACCTCGTTTTGTAGCTGAAATTTATTGCATTTTCCAGCGTGTTAAGAAATAACCGATTAAGATAGCACGTACGCGAAGTCAATGTTTTAATCGAGCACCTGTTCCGGTAGGCCTGTGCTCGTACTAGGAGGGTCTTGTCCGGAGGATCACGAGGGTATCGGCGGCTTTCAGGAATGTCCACAGGTCGAGGCAAGTAAACCGTACTGCAAGTACGCGGCAAGGCCACCGTCAGCTGCACTTATACCGTTGCATGTCGAAAAGGCCGTACGGCTCGCCACTTACGGTAGACCAGGTAAGAAGGGCCGGATTGCTGCAATTTTTCGATCAGCTTAACGAATGTCCGGTGAATTCCAGACATCGGCCGAAAGAGACGAAGAAATTTACGGCAATTTGCAACAAATTTAACGTCTCGCCTATTTACAGAGTTTTCAATAATAAGTTATAATATTTTCTAATCTAACATCTTAATAAAAGGAAAGGGAAGACGGCGGAGAGATAAATGGTGGAAAATTTCAAGGAATCTTAGGAGATGTTTGAAAATTTACAATTGAAAGAAACCAAGCCAATTCTTTGTTCTACATTTCGCACCTTTATTGTATTATTTGCAGGCGCTGCTTATCTCGACTTACCCGCTACATTATTGATGCAAAACGTGGACGAAACTAAGATTGCTAAGGTTTTACCCTGCCCACCGCCACCGCTATCGTATCCCGATCCGAAGTTAATTGAGCAGGCAGCGAATTTATTGATAAAGGCGAAGAAACCTTTGGTGATAGTCGGCAAGGGTAAACTCGCGGTTTTACTAAAAATTTTCATTATACCGATTATTTTTCCTCTTTTCCTTTTTCCGTTACGCCTTTTGTACGCACAGGAGCTGCTTACGGGCGAGCCGAAAATCCGGTGAGAGAGCTCATCTATTCGACAGATTTACCCTTTTTACCAACCCCGATGGGAAAGGGCGTTGTACCGGACACGGACGAGCGTTGCGTCTCCAGCGCGCGAACGTACGCTTTGCAACATTCCGACGTCATTTTGTTGTTAGGCGCGAGATTAAATTGGATGTTGCACTTCGGGCGGCCACCCAGATTTCAAAACGACGTCAAAGTCATACAGGTAAATCGGTGGTCCTTGCGATCCTTTAAGAATGCGATGAGACGCGTCGAAACTTTTTAAAGAATGCGCCGTTGACGGGATCTTGTTTATTAAAACTAAATGTACGAGCGACAATGTTAAAAAATATATTTTAATCCAAAGGCTGCTGTATGAAAAGATTATTTTGAAGAAACACGTAACTACTGCTGGCTTTTTTTTATATATTAAAATGTAACGTAAAACTCTGTAGATCGATTTGTGTGCCGAAGAACTGCACAATTCCGTGCCGTCCACCGTTGCTGTACAATCCGACGTCGCACCCGCGACGGAATATCTGACAAATGCATTGAGAAATCGAAAATGGCGCGTCGACCGAAAACATTCGTGGTGGAAGGCGCTCGTGACGAAAGCCGAGCAGAATAAGCAATCAGTAAACGTGAGTTCCGTCTTAATTACGAGTCAAATAAAATTCTCTATTTGAATAACTAATTTGCAGTTTCCTCGTACATTTACAGCGGATGTCGATGGACACCAGTGTGCCTCTGAATTATTATACCGTATTTAAGCATATTCAAGATGTTCTACCAAAGGGTGAGCTTATATCATTCAAACACATATTTCTATAGCGATTTCGTAGAATTCGTGTCTATTTTCCGTCACGGAAAAGATATTTATAGGGGAAAGTCTCGTATTATGAGACAAGTTTCTAATACGAGATAGCGGAATTTCTATTAAATTAATAAGCGTCATCTATTGGTTCCACCATAAATTTATTGCTCTTGAGGTGAAAACTGTTTAGTGGAAAATTCATTGTTAGATCGTGTAATCGTCGCGAAAAAGGATTTGTGATTGAATTTGGACGTTGAAAAGCTGCTATCTCACATTAGAAGCCTCTCATGATAAGGAACTCTCCTCTATTAATATATAATATTTAAGAAAGAGAATTAGTAATACAAATTTCTTGCTCGCGTGTTGATTGACTAGTAATATCAGTTGGAAAAGTAGCACGTGTTGAATATTATACACATCTTTATTAATATTACATGTTTTTGTACGCACGCAGACTGCATTATTTGTTCCGAGGGAGCGAATACGATGGACATCGGACGAACCATTCTCTTGAACAATCTGCCTCGGCACAGATTGGATGCCGGCACGTTCGGCACCATGGGCGTAGGGCTCGGATTTGCGATCGCAGCTGCCCTTTACTGTAAAGACAACGCGCCGCAAAAGAAAGTGATTTGCGTGGAAGGAGACAGCGCCTTCGGATTCTCCGGCATGGAGATCGAAACTATGTTTCGGTAACGTAATCGCAGAAGAATTATCAAGAAAAGCTATTTTCAGGCGCGAAGAATGTAATCACGTCGACCTTCCTTTCTCCGCAGCTACAAACTACCGGTGATTATTATAATCGTCAATAATAACGGTATATATGGCGGTTTCGATGACGAAACCTTCAAGCAGATACAGGCGTCCGGGGATCCTACTCAAGTGTACGCGTCTCTTTATATAATTTTAATACACGAGACCTTAACATTATATTTGCTTTTTAATTGACTTTTTGTTTTGTCAATTTTTCTCGTATCCAGACTTTACGTTAATCATAAAAATTTTCAGGACACCCCCGTATTCTTTGACAGCCAATATTCATTATGAGAAACTAATGGAAATGTTTGGCAAGAAAGGATACTTTTGCACTACAGTAGAGGATATTCAGCAGGCATTAAAATTGTCCCTCAAGGTAAGATCGTTACCAAGCTGGTTCTTTAAAAATTGAAGGGAAATGCATGAATTATAAAATGTCCTTTCAGGTGATGGATAGTCCCAGTTTAATAAACATCATGATAAATCCGCAAGCGGATCGAAAGAAGCAGCAATTCAACTGGCTAACGGAATCAAAGTTATAGGTGTGTGTGTGCTATAGGCAGTAAAACGCTGTCATTTCACAATTCCAAAGTTTCTTTTCTTAGATTATATTTTCTACAGGTCCTCAACTAATACAGTCATTTTTTACACTATTGATAAGAACATTATTTTTATATGTGGTTACGTATCTATTCGTTAAGCTATCGTTAATAATTTACAAATATATATCAAATGGACGTGTATTGGATTGTTAAGGGGATGAAACGTATCCAGTGTAAAAATATACAATACGCACAAGGCGCGGCAAAAATTATATGTTTCAGGCGCCTGTGTTCTCCATCAATTTTTCCATAACTAAAGCGAATGTGGTTGAATTCAGCAAATCCGGCGCTACCCTGTCTTCGCGCTCGCTCTCATTGATAATCTCCAACATGTTCAAATGCAATTCTTTCGTTTTCTCTGCCAGCGCCCTATTCGCTGCGGCGACTACCACTTGCAGGTCTCCGTTATCCTTCACAATCTCGCCGATCATATCCAGCTCCTTCGTTCTGAGGGTACAAAATTAATGCGTTAGAGTTGAACAAGACCCATAGATAAAATCAAACAACTGCCGTGTAGGTCCAAGCAGGATGTAAGATAGTGCAATAATTCAAATCTTATGTGAATTCATGTACCGTTTTTCCATCTGTTCTGGGATCAGCGGATCGCCAATCGCAAGACCACTCCGATGGAGCCCTTTAAAAAGTTCCGCCGAAACGGTCTTGTGATTGGCGATCAGCTGATCCCGCTCCACGGGACGTCGCCCTCGAGTACGAGCGGAATACGCGACTGTGATTAGTCGATTTCTTAAGGCTCAGGGTTCAAATCTCTATTGTAGACGGGCACTTACATTTTCAGGGTAACGTCACGGATGGAAAATAACGTTTGCTGGATATTTTTCTTGACGTCAATCTCGGGTTCCACGTCGGATCTCATTGCTACGTTTACGCGGATTATTCGTACAGCCGATCACGCTCTCGTCGATCGTGTCGCGACTGTCGCCTACGAACCCGCGTGTATTCGGCCAGGTTTGTCTCCGTTGTCCGGCGTCGGAATTGATCGCAAATGGATACGAACAGCGGAAGAGCCGAGCTCTCACACGACTGCTCGCTTGGGTGGTCTTGTCTTGCCGGCAGAAAGCTGCCATTTGCAAAGTTGCAGCGCGGTGATGGTATATCGATGTCTCGAATCTCGATACCTCGACGTACCATCGCGCCACTTCACTGCGAGCGGTCGAGCGAGGCACTTGCGGAGGGACGTGAGGGACACGTATTTTGGCATTTTTGTTACATGAGGATCGAGGAAGGATGGTAGTCGAGGAAAAAGCGGACCCTTCGAGGGAGGGTCAGACGCAGAATGCGGTGAAGGAGCCCAGGACGTATTCCTTGGAGAGTATCCTTTCGTGAAAGTGTTGTTCCCTCCCCCCGGGGAGTCTCCGACAGAGTTGTCAGTGCCATATGTCTTCCGTTAACCTCTCGCGTCTTTGAAAAATTTATTAAACGTTCGCACGATTCAGGCCCGATTTCGCCAAACGACGCTCAACTTTGATCGTAGCTTAATTCGTTCTTTGTCTCTTTTCAACTGTTACTTTAGAAAGAGACGAACGTGAATTAAACTGTTGTGAGATTAGAGTTAACCGACGTTTGGTGAAACCGGGCCATAGGCCCGACTTCACCAAACGTCGCTCCACTTTAATTATTAAATTTAGAATAAAACGTTTAGATACTAAAACCCTGTCGCGGCTCTTGGTCCTTTATTCCTTCAGATTTGTGTTTGCCACATTTGAGCCATACGAATTTTATTAATTTGTTTAATCTTAGGCTTGTTTTCTGTTCCTACACTAGTGAACTAGTGCAATAAATTGGAGTAAGACAAGCATATTTTTTCTCATTCTAGCTTACTGCACTAGTTCACCAGTGCAGGAACAGAAAACAAACCCCTTGTTAACTTAGGTCCAGTTTCACAAACGTCGGTTAACTGTTAACCAGAGTTCAATCGACTTCCTATCTTTCTCTATCTTGTTATCCAAGAAGAGACAGAGGATCAATTAACCATGGGTTAGCGGTTAAACGACGTTTGTGAAACTGGCCCTTAATTCATGTTTTTCGCTTTCTAAAGTAACAGTCGATAATAGTCGAAGAGAGACAAAGGACGAATTAAACTAAGCTTAAAGTTAAAGGACGTCGGTGAAACCAGGCCTAAACGCTTAGGTCCGATTTCACCAAACGTCGCTCAACTTTAATCTTATTATTAAATTTAGAATAAAATATTTGCACACTAACACCCTGTCGCGGCTGTTGGTGCTTTATTCCTTCAGATTTGTGTTTGTCACATTTGAGCCATACGAATTTTATTAATTTGTTTAATCTCGATGTTAGCTTAATTCATATTTGTCCCTTTCTAAAGTAACAGTCGGAGAGAGGCAAAGAACGAATTAAACTAAGCTTAAAGTTAAGCGATGTTGGCGAAAGCTGGCCTTGCGAAATTAACGACGCGGCCAATTGATGCTGCGATTCGTCGATTTCACGTGTAGCGTAAAAGCTGATCTCGCGCTTCTTATGTAATGCTTTATTGTTCCCAACTGTGTTGTCCTTATCAGTTGCGAACGCGTAGTTCTGAAGATAATCAAGGAGGCGCAACAGCAGCATGGGTTGAGACACGGCGACTACCAGCGGTATCGCGGTTACTGCTCGAGGCGGCTCCGAAGACTGCGGAAGGTGCTGAAAGTGCCGCAGGGCGACAGGCGTCATTTCAAGAGGAGAGACGTCACCGCGACGATGGTAAGCGAGGACAAGTTTCTGCAGGTGCCGCTGATGATGGCCGAGCGCGCGTGGAGCTACGCGATGCAGCTGCGCCAGGAATCTAATACGGAGCCGAGGAAGAAGTTTCATCTGATATCGAGGCTCAAGAAAGCGGCTGTGTACTCTCTGCAGCTGCAAGATCTAATAGAGGTACATTTTTACGATATCGAAGTTGTTTATATCTCACTCTTTCCGCTCTGTTTCATTAATTGGTTCTACAAAATTGACAGGACTGTACAATTTGATGATGTTTTTGTTCAGAATATAAATTGCGACGCACGTACGAAACTGGAGGCTCAGGCATACGTAGCCTGGATGAACGGTTCCCTGGAGTTTGAGCTGCAACTGTGGAAACAGGCTATGGAGAATCTGAAGAAGGCGCAGATGGTGTACGGCAATTTGGCGTCCGCGCTGCCAGAGCTGGAGCAGGTGCTGTACAAGGCGCGCGTCGAGGAGCTGGCGCCCAGTCTCAGATACTGCGCTTACAACATTGGAGACGCCAGCGCCATGGACGATCTCATGCAGATGCGTGGGCAACTGAGTGGCGAACTGATGGCCAGCCTGGACTCCCTGATAGCTCAGACGCGAGAGAAGCAAACTAACTTGGAGGAGGTGACGTGGCGTGGCAAGTCCTGCGGTACGGTACCACCGCGAGCGGCCGGTTTGATCATCGCAGACTCCAGATTGAATCAAGCGCTGGAGAGAGCCGCCACCAATCAGGCGAAGATTGATCTGCTCGAGGCGCATCTGATAGACTGCAAGGATGCTCTGCTGGTGGTGCGTGACCATTTCAAGAACGAGTTGAAGAACAAAGAGAACGACAAGTGGTCGCCGCCGCAGCATCTGATCAATTATCTGCAGTATATCCGGCTGTCTCGTACACTGGAGCGCAATCTGACGTTGGTGAAAGCGGCGGAAGAATCGGAGAAGGCAAAGCCGCAGGATATAGTGCGTCTGTACGAGGCAGCGTTGCACAATCTCGTGGAGATATCTCAGTTGCAGGACGACGTAGAATTTTTGGAGGAGCAGGAGGCGAAGACAAAATGTTACAGAGCCTTCAGATGTTTCTACATGGCCCAGAGTCTCGCCAATCTGCACCGTTGGCGCGAGGCTATGGCCTTGTACCAGAGATCGCTGCAGCATGTTAAAGATGCGCTTAAATGTGATAAAATTCTTCCAGTCGCGCTGAAGGAGGCCTTGTGCAATTTGGAAAGCTCTGTTGAGGCTGCGCAGTACGCCGCTCATGCTCACAGCGTTCTAGAGGACGGCCAGGAGGAAGAGAGTGGAACCAGTAAGCTTGCCAAGAGCAAGAAGCCGCTTTACGAACGTTTGCACGAGTACAGGGAGGATCCGGCGCTTCTCACGAAGCAACCGAACGTCTACAAGCTGCCACCACCGATGCGCAGCATTCCCTGCAAGCCACTGTTCTTCGATCTGGCTTTCAACATGGTCGAGTTTCCAGACCTGTCGCATAAAATGGGGGATCAGGCCAAGAGGGGACAGGCTGGTCTCACCGGCTTTGTCAAGGGTCTCTGGGGTTGGGGAAACAAATGAAATTATATACGGCGTTTGAAGTTTGATACGCAAAAGAATTTTAAATACATTGTACAGACAGTATTGTTACGCTGTATATTTTCTCTGCTGTCTCTACAGCAATCATATTGGTCCAAAAGGCATTTCAATTGCATTCCCAGTGCAAATTGAACTTGCATTACGCCAATATTATTGAGGGGGAAAAAAAATAAAATGGAACACTTAACGGATGCTTGTTACAGATCCTGTCTTTCGGTAATCCCCCTTTCCTTTCTTACAATGTAAATTGTACGATAAAATAACATTTTTATTTTCCTTTTGCAACTCCGTATACTATAGTATAAAAACAATTATCTCACAGAGATACTTGTATATACAATTTCCTGTAAATAAGCTTGTCTGGGAATAAAGATAGTAGGCCGTCACGAGTGAGCAACGCTAAGGATCACGCACAGTGCAAGTACCGTCTTCAAGCCTCCTTACTCTTGGTGAGTTCTTCGACTAATTTTCTAAACACCTGTGCGACTTGACTGTCGGGTAACGTCACCAGAACACTTTGCCCCTTATCCGCTAACTGGCCGACTTGTGGGTCTATAGGTACCTTAGCTAAAAACGGGACCTTCACCATCTCCGAAAGAGCTATACCGCCGCCCGAGGAGAATATATTGGTGCATTCCTGTAAAATGTAAGATTTCTTAAAACTGTATCAAATAGTAACATGGATTACGATCGCAAATTACAATTACACGGAAAGAGAAATGTAGCCGTGGCTAAAAACTGCATGTGGCGACTAAATTTCAGTTGAAAAATGTAAATACGGCTCCTGTACAAAACAACTTGAAAATTAAAGCAAGTAATGTTGGATAAAATATATCGATGTATAAAGAAATAATCGATTCGCCACGATTTATAAGTAACATTGGCACTTTTCGATACACACTCATTATAATGACCGTTACGTTGCGCTATCTCGTAACGACGGATTTTAGGTTTCGGATCGAGTATATTCAATTGTTAATTTATTGCCGAGGAGGGTCGCTTTCGCAGACCGAAACGTACAATTGTATTCCAAGATTGTGTGGTTTTTAGATTGAAAATCTGTTAATATTAATATTATATATAATTTTTTACACCATTTTCAACGGGTGACGGCCCACATTGCCTAAACGTTTTCCAACATTACTTGCTTTTCAGTTGTAAAATGTGTACAGCTAATATTTCGTTATGACAGCTGAACATTTTGCTGCCGTGTACTTACTGTACACGAAGGACAGACAAAGCCGCTCATATTCTCAACGATGCCGATTATATGAATGCCAGTTTTTCTACAAAATGTCACCTCTCGTAGAACATCGTCCACCGCAACTGCCTGCGGAGTCGTCACTATAATCGCGCCGTCGCACTTCACGTCTCTGTAATTTGACAAATGCCTTACTATAACACAGTTAAACAAATATTAACATTATCTCACCCATAAATAGATACGAATGCATGTATATTATTCACTGCTATAAGGAAGCTACGGATGGAAAGAGAAAGCAGGTGACGAAGTTTAAAGGGAGAAAAGGAGAGAAAGAGGAAGAAGTTTAAATAATGTAAGATCAATATAAGACTAATAAAATATAAATAAGGAATATAAGATCCATACAAGTGTAAGTACAAATAGGCCAAAAATTTAACACAGAACAAAGCTAAGCTTAGAATTGTTAAATTTAGGTTTCAAGTGCAAGTAAACTAAGTAAATAAAGCAATTAGAAATACTAGTCCCAACAAGCAAGGATGAAAATAGGGAGGATGGAAATAAGTATGCAAGAATGAATGAGCCAAGAACATATTGTAAACCAAGTCCACTTCTTGGCTGTAAGCTCAAGTTAATGAGTTACTAACTATGTATATTATTCACTAATTAACCTCAGGTTCTCCATGACTGTGATGTGCTCGTCGGAAGTGCCAGGTGGTGTGTCGATGATGAGATAATCGATGTCCCGCCAGACCACGTCCGCCAGAAACTGTTTGATCATGCCGTTCTTCTTGGGCCCGCGCCAAACCACACTGTCGTTCTGACTTTTCAGGAGGAAACCAATCGACATGACGGACAGCTTCTGCTCCGAATCGGCGAACACTGGTATCCACCTAGAAATTTGCACCATTTGTTGGCAGCGCGCGATTATTGCCAAGGAATTATCGCTCGAGTAAGACATACCCCTCAGAGGACTGGTGAACATCTTCCCCTTCCAAGTTCAGTAAATAAGGCACGCTGGGGCCACAAAGATCGACGTCCAAGATCCCGACCTGTCGCAGTTATTACATTGAATTAACTTCCAGATAGCACAAGACACTCCTATGAACATTTCAGGAATATTCTTCAAGAATATTTGGAATATTCCATAGGTCATTCTTGCATATTTATCTTACATTCGAGGAATATTCGACTGGCACCACTAGAAATCTTTTTCGAATGTGAATAGAATAAGCTACATAGCTTATTCTCGAACATAGCGTGTCGGTTATACAGGGTGAGTCTTTCCATATCCGACAAAATTTTTGAGATGGTAGAACGGATCGAGATGAACGAAAAAGTCCTGTACCATTTTGCAATTTTCGTAATAGTTAACGAGTAATTAATTATGAAAAATCGTTGTCTTAGGTCGGCCTACCGCCCAATTCGAGCGCGTGGCGAGATGTGCGCATAGCAATATCGATCGCCGGGCGGTCACATCTTGCCACGCGCTCGAATTGGGCGGTAGGCCGGCCTAAGACAACGATTTTTAATAATTAATTACTCGTTAACTATTACGAAAATTGCGAAAATGGTACAGGACTTTTCCGTTCATCTCGATCCGTTCTACCTTCTCAAAAATTTTGTCGGATATGGAAAGACTCACCCTGTATATATGATCACTGGTTTCCGAGGGGGAAACCGCTGACCAAAATCTTGTACACCAATGCCCACTAATGTCCAGTGGGCATTACTTCATCTTATTATCTTATTTTATCTTTATAAAGCCTCAGCAAGACGTAATGCCGCAAATCTGTACACCACAATGCCCTCAGCGGTTTCCCCCTCGCTGGTTTCACTGCCTTTTGCACAAGATAAATGTATTACACAATAAACAATGTGCAATACATAAACTCGATGAATATTAAAACATTATTCTGAACGAATATTCTAAAAACGTTCTTCTTTATCGGTGGTCGAATTGGTTGAGACGCCCACCTAGAGTGAAGGGAGGTCCAGGTTCAAACCCTGGCTGAGGTAATACTTTTCGCAATAAATTTTCTGTGTTAAAAACACATCGCCAGCCATGGTCGACCAACTGCTTAATCAACGTTCTTTGTTATGAATATACGATTTCTAATTGCAATAATCTATATATATTTATAGAATATTCATAGAACTGTGCGTGCTATCTGGACTGATGAATCAATCTCCGCTAGGGCTAAGCTGCGTCGCAAAGATATTTAGCTGAAAGATGAAAACTGGCAAAGAGTGGTTCGTCACGATACCTCGCGTCAGCAATAATAATATCGGAAGAGAGAACCGCAAACTTGTTTCGGTCACTTGGACGAGGTGTTGCGGATCTTTTCGAACTTTCGGGACTCGCGGAACAAACTTACTCGAAAGCCCGACTCCTTCAAGGCGAGCGCCAGCTGAGTGCTGATTGTCGACTTGCCGACGCCGCCTTTTCCCGAGAGCACCAACAGCACGTGCTTAACGCCTTCCAACATCGTCGAGAGTTTAACAATCGTCGGACGACCAAGAGCCGAGCGGACGACACGCGATTGCGGGATATTACGACGGTTGTTCCGGCGACACAAAAGCGTAAACGAGGTCACGTCAAGCTTTCACATGACCGACGATAATCAATCGTGTTCGACCATGCGTAGTGTAAAGCTCGAGCGGCGTGTGTAATCCCCTGACGTTATTGTGTTTCGCATATCGGATTGTAAACATAACCCCAGCGTGACGTTTCAAGCGACTGAGCACTCGCAGCGCCGTTCGCCGTCAAATTGCGCGACCGCGCGTGCAACTGCGATGGAACGCAGCCAAAGAATTCTCGGGGAAACCAAGTTTAGTACCGTACGAAAGTTCTGAACACAGGACCTGCGCGAAACTTCAATAAATTTTTGCGAAACTCGAGGTTCGTCGCGCTCGGCCCAATAAAAATTGTTCATCTTTTTTCCCCGCGAACGTCGTCGAATCATTGAATTAGCAGCTTCACGAGATCCGACGTTTAATCTTCATTTAGATCTCGTCGAGCTTGTCGAACGGAACGTGCAATTTTGCATTCGAAAGGCCCCGCGCGCGCCCGCCGCGCGGCAACCGCGTGAAGTTGCCGCGGCGGCGCCCTGAAGGCGGCCGCGATACGCGTCACAGCCGCGTCAGCGCCCGGTGGTCGCCCGCCTGGCAGGCGGTAGTTGTCCGCGCGGCCGTCAGAGCGCGCGTAGCGCATGCCGCGTTGCTGCTGAGTGATCTGTTCGCGCGCCGCGCCGCGTCGTGTCAGCCGTCTGGTTCGCGCCGCTACGTCGCCGTCGCCGTCGCCGTTGGTTGACAACGCCGTTGTCATCGCCGTCGCAGCATCGTCCACCGCGGGTACGCGCCGCAGACGGGGTGCTGACCGGTGGCCAGCGCTCATCGCCCGGATCGCCCGCACCCCTCCCTCCCGCCGCACGCAACGTCGCGCGCCGCCATGGATCACATCGGCCTGCTGCTGCAGCACTCGCAATACGTGTACGCGATCCCCGTGGGCATCGTGCTGGTATGCGCCATTCTCGTGTTCGCCTTCGGCTTCAAGAAGGCCGAGCAGCCGCCGTTCGCGCAGCTCACCGCGGGCTCCGACGTGGAGCGGAGGCTCGCCAGGAAGCGCGGCAAGGTCCGCGAGAAGGTTAGTGAGAGACCGACGGGTCGCGGGCGACCCGGCCGCGCGTCCCTTCCCCGCCTCCCGGCCCTCGCCCCGCGCGCTCCCTTTTTCCCCCCCGTAGACACGTCGCTGATCGCCCGCCATATGGTGGGCGCGAGTCGACGCACACGCACACACGCCCGCTAATCAGCTGGTCCCTCCGGCTGCTCCCGAGAGAGGGTTCGCCCGCTCGGTGGCTGTTTCCCCTCTCCCCGCGCCTCGTGACGTAACGCCGCGACGGGGTCTGTTTTCCTTGTCATCGTGCGGTGCCTCGCGACGCGCGTCCGCCGGCGCTGCCGGGGGTCAGCCCGGCGTTAAAATCCGCTCTTTTTATCGGCGCTTTCTACAGTCGGCTTTTTGCCCTCTTTCTCTACCCAAAGTCCAATCGCTCGCGACAATCTCGCGCCGATACCGAGTACGTTGCATTGAGTGATTTTAATGAAACAATTCCTAATTAGACCGCGCTTACTCGCACGTGTATAACGAACATATGTGTGATAAGAGAAGTCCTCGGAGTTTCGTGTAATTTAACTTTAACCTTACGTTTAAACTAATTTTACCGACAAGAGCATACGATTCACACATTCCGTTCAATATTGTTTGGAAACAGATGTATTTTTTTTTATATATTGGACAATGTATGGAACTTATGTATATTTTGTTTTAGAAAGCTGCTAATGGCCAAGTTGCATCTGAAAAAACAAGCCCAGCTAAAAAGACATTGGCGGCCAAAGCCGAAGCTCCTAAGAAGGCTGCCAAAGGAGATGAGGCTGACGGTAAGTTAAAAGAGCGTAAGCAAGAGGACAACAAGATCGTCGCCACCAAGAAAGAGAAGGAGCAGCCGTCGGCTAAGGCTGGCAAAGAGAACAAGGTGGAGCAGGCGAAGAACAAGAAGAATTTGAAGAACTTGTTCCAGGAAAAACCGGTGGACTTTGACGATGGTTGGTTGACTTGCATGTATTATCGTGAATAGATAAGATTTGGTTTTTCATACAATATTACTGTTGAGCTGTTACATCTACCTGTGGTAATATGACAATTGATAACAGGAGATTGGGAGCAAGCTTATTCGCGCAAGGATAAGAAGAACAAGAAAAAGGAGGAGGAGTCTCCTTCGAAGAAGAACAAGAAGACGTCCAAGAAGGCTGATTTAATAAACGAAGCCAAGCAGAAAGAACAGGACAAGCCCGAGGTCAAAGACAAGACCGCTAAGGAGACCGAGAATAAGGAGCTCAAAGAGAAGGAGAAGAAGGAAGTGATTCTTACGTCCATTTCTGACGAGGAGATAGGTAAAGCCAAGGAACCGCAGAAAGAAGAGCAGAGCAAGGTATATCTTTATTTCGCGTAGCAATAAAATCTTTTAGCTGACAATCTGTGAACGAAATATTCGCACGCAGGTTGAGAAAGTCGAAAAGGAAGAGAAGAAGTCTGGAAAATCGAAAAAGAGTAAGAAAGCTACCGAAGGCGAGAGCACACCCGCTTCGGTACCATCTACACCAAAGACAGATAATAAGCCTGTTGTGGAGGAGCAGCAGATAAAGCCGTTGATTGCGGAAAAAATAGCCAACAACGTGGAAGAAAATAAAGTGGTGGAAAGCAAAGAGAAAATCGCCGTGTTCGACGAGTTAGGAGGTTTGTTGTATTAACGAGGAAATTACGAGATGCCTTTATTTCCGAGTTGTTTAATATGTTGTTTGTAATTGCGTTCCAGACGTCTGGACAGAAGCGAAGCCTCAGAAGAAGAGTAAAAAAAAGGCTCGTAAGGATAACTGAGGACGTGCAACGCTAATGATATTGCTCCTTGCGAAAAGGAATAGAGTGAGATCCAAAGGGCGTTTGTCGCTTTCGACAAATCAGGTGTGTTTCAAGTGACTTGCTGATCGCCGCCTGACCAAATCGTTCCTTTCCCCCCTTGTACATAGTACCAATCACACCTAGGTTGTTCAATTGTGACTTTTTAGTTGTCATGACGTCGAGATCGCGTGAGAACGCCATGTAGAATGAAGATTTTTTTTGTACGTTTTTCATTTCTTGTTATCCACACTATCTTGCATTTAATAAGAGTGGCATAAGTCATAGTTTTCACCTTTACCAGGCAATTCTTGTGCACACATTGGGTTTCTTAGATACCTTTATATATGCCCATAGTAGAGTATTTTGTTTCGTAATTGTATAATTATAACTATACACAGATATAGTTACAATTATCTCATCATAAAGTTTGTAATAGTTCTGTATCATAAAGTTTTGTAATGGTACTTATGCCATTTACATTTTATGTCTTTATAGATTGATAATCTTGCGAAGAATATTTTGTATACTATTCCATACTATTTCTACATTAAGAACAACAATTCTATGCGCGTATTGTATATCGCTGTTACTTAAACGCCGGTTCTCATCGACATCTCACATTACATTGTATGTGTATGAACGGTTGAAAGGCAAAAACATAGAAAGTACGTTTCACGGTAATATTCATAATGCAGGACAATCTTTGGAAGCGATAAACTTATATTGCTGATGTGTAGAATGGGTTTTGAGAAAATCATATTTTTCTACACGATTAGTCGCGCTTAGTGACTGATTATTTTCTGCTTCGAACGCTCGAAAATCCATCTCGTAACAATTAGTGTATTTCCATTTAGGTACATCAGTAATATAAGTTTTAGGGAAGGATATAGATAACGTTACGTAAATTCATGGCAGTAAAAGTCATACAAATGTGATAACGATGATGATTAACTTAAATGGATTCTGATTTATACATGGATGCACATTGTGCAACAGAATATGTATATATACACATGTTGAAATCGAGAGACAAAATCTACGTTGATATATCCTGCAGCGATTCATGGATGAGATGATTTGTTGATTATTTAATGTTGTACTTTATGCCAGTGAAAATTTAATAACACGTGGGGAGTAGAGGAAAATTCGGTAGAAAGCAGGGGAAAATAACCCAATATTTTTACAGCATAAGTATTTGTATCTATATGTATATTGTTAGGTATAATATTACGAAGAAATATTGATTTCTTGTTGAATACTTTCAGAAGTTAAAAACATATATTTGTATTTTTATCGTACATCATGACAGCTAACAGTTTTACTTGTAAACATGATAGCAGTGTTAACATATTGCTTTCGTGCATTTTTGACTATGTTCTTACAGTTACACTGTAATTAAGACACAGGAAATATTACTATGATAATTTTACAATTATTATATTTATAGCTAATAGATCTTATAATCTCACGACTTCTTTTTCCTAAAAAAAAGCGAAGGTAGAAAAGAAAATGCGAACGACCAAAATGATATTTTTGTATATTTTTTTAATGACAACTGAATTTTTTTTGTATCAGATATTATCTCACAATCGATTTCCTTGAACATTTATCGTCGTGCGGAGATAATCGAGTAGTAACATAGAAGATCAAATGCACATCAAAATTATAGTTCATGAACAAATGCAGCCATTCATCTCTCATGTCATGCAGGAAGATTAATAGATCAATTTCTTTAGAAGTAATCGACAAAAGAATTATATTGTATTTACTTTATTAATTCTTATCAGAGTATGTTATCAATAAGCCCTCTATCGCTATTAGGTGCTGAGCTCTGTAAGGCGAGCGCGGCACATGAATGTTATACATTGGAAATATCGGAGAATTAATTCCAGATTTCTCTCAGAGAATGTCCTAGCTTATATTTGATCAGAAACAGAAAGAATCTATATACATATATACAATAAGTATGTATGTATATGTATAAAGGATTACAAGATTTGATGTGAGTGAGCAAATTATTATCGTTGTTGTACGTGACAACGTTTTATTCTAAATAATTTACGAATTAAGAGCTATCTGTTAAAAAATTGCGTAAAATTATTGTATCGATACTTTTAAGAGGAAGCGAATGAGAGCGTGAGATGATATGATGATGTATGACAATATTGTGATAAGAATATTATACCTGAGCATCGCTTGAATGTTGCAAACTAATGCTGAATCACTCGTAGCTTTTATGTGTGGAAGGGAATCTTGGGGAGAAGTACCTATCTTGATCGAATAGCCATTCATATTTTGTATACTGTACATTAATATATTCTCATAAGTGCACGCATACGAGATGACTGTGCAAGACAAGGTTCTAGCGTTACTTTGGCAAAGGAAATCCACATTGTGGAGGACTGTCGCGTGGAATTTATAAAAAAGGGAGGAAAAGGGTCTATATAATTATTTATAGAACATATTGAGCGAGCTTGAATTATAACAGAAACTATCGTCACTCATACATCAAATCGCTTGTATCGACAGTACATGTCCCGTGCCAAAAGCAAGCATCATCTCTCGTCTGGATCATGTTCGAGGCTGAATTTCGTACAATAATTGGATATTAAAGGAAATTTAGCGACGCTATTTATGGCCACCTTATACGATCAGGTCTTTCGTGATCGATAGTCGCATGACTGCTTATACATTTCTTCTCACCGTGTGTATCGCTTGACTCTTTGCGGCAATATAATCGTCAAAGAATGTCCATTCAACGGTAATTAGCGATTGTCTGAGTAGCTGACCGATTAGCTATGTTAATTTACATAATAGAAATTAAGTTTGTTTCTTCGGAACCGCTATAAAATTATTTTTTCGAGTCTCTGTGTACAATAAAGCCGAACATATACAAGATTTCGTGTATCGCAGAGAGTTGAGGCGGCAGATAAAGATATTACGAGCAGTATGTATTTTCACGCGAAAATATTAAGATACTTGATTCAACGATAATTATAAATCGCAATTTGCTTTGTCGTCTATTTATGACAAGATAAGTTGCACCATCCGGAAGCCATTACGACTGAAAAAGATAAGTTGCACTTTGACGAGAAGCATAAAATTAACGGTTGTGGAAAAGTATACTCGTGAAGCTTCGAGAGTGATTTATAGCGAATTCGGTTACTTACACTAGTGCGCACTGAGTGCACACTAATGCTTAAGGTTCGTCTTAAATGTCCCTTGAAATATTTCTTAGCCAGTAAAATGATCTGTACACCATCCGTACGGGTCACTTTTTTAGCCTAATTATTCTTTAAACATGTATACATATAAGACAAAGTTAAGTATATAAAAAATTGACTGTGAACAAATTTGGTGTGTACTCAGGGCGTACTAGTGCAAGCAACCGAATTCGCTATTAGATAATGCTGTTCGTAATGATCCAACCAATTAGTTTAATGAGCTAGTTCGCGGAGTACTTACATTTGCGCGGAGAGAAAACCAAACAAGTGCCGTCTGAAGGGACGGCTTTCGAATCGCGAAGGAGAAATTAGCATATTTTTCTAAGTATTGCTCCAAATCGCCACGTCGTCTACATACGGCATTTGCGCCGAATCGCCGTCGAAACGCGCCGGACGTGCACATATGTATTTTGAATACCACGCTTGTGCGCATTCGACGTGTATTCGAAAACGTGGAACATCTGTTAGCGAGACTCGAGCGGGGAGAGCGGTGTTCTTTCCCGCGTGTAGGACACGACGAAGATTTTCGCACGAGAATCGGCTAAGTAGAAACGTGAGAGGGCGAGACGGGGAGGTGAACTGACTATAAAATTGAGGAAGTATTATATTGCCACTGTACATATGTATATTAACGAGCAATGTTCTTCTTATTAAATGTATATGTGCAATGTTGCGTCGTACGGTTCACCGATACGGACCCTGCGGCGGTAGGGATCCAGATTTTAGGGATACTTTTTCCGAAGAATCGATCAGCGTCCGACAATACGTGTACGATCTATTTATTTTGAAAGTGACTCGAGTTAAATCTCGCGAATAGATTTTAACAGGCCGGAAATACCGTGGTGTATAATTATATATAACTTTGTAAAAGAGATTCTCACGGTTTTGACTCGTCTAACTTTCAAAAAATAGGCAAAGCACATCAGCATCATATTATATATCTATAGTATGCCGCGCATTTTCCACAGGGCCGGTAAACGATCTCTCGGTACGGTCCACGTAGCATTCTGCAAATGTACCTCTTCAATTCGTGCATCGAAGTAACGACAGCGCAATTACGATGGCCTATTTTGGACTCGATATAGCTACAGGTTTGCGTTCTGTACGGCACACACACACACACAAGGACTCTGATCGTATTCGAAATATCGACTGTAACATAAAGATAAGATAACAAGAGAGAAAGAGTAAATGAAAATACGACACGGCTGTGTCGAATATATATTATATATGTATATGACATAGAGTTACGCATATAATTTATTTTATTCACTGAGGGATTGCTGCGACAGCATGTGACAAATTAATAATATAAATTCATGATATATATAATAAATATTATGTATACAATATAAAAAAACATACGTCGTATAAAATACGTGTGTTTCGATTAACTTAAATCTTATCGTTAGCTTATATGAGCGTTAGAATTAAGAAACCAAGAAAATGTGACAAACGAAATATATTTGCGTATGAAGGTGTAGTAAACGACGAGAAATATTCTGTTTCTGCGAATCACACACGATTATGCGCTTCTCTCTCTTCTGGAAATTAGAATGTACATTATCGAAATATATTCTATACATATATATATTTGTGTGAGATCCAAAAGGTATATGTATATGTACATAAATATATATTTTCGCATTTATCTTGCTCGGCGAACAGAACATTTCTCGCGAAAATATGCTTTTTGGTTGTGATATTTATGGAAAAATGTACGAGTAGCGGAGTTTCAAGAGTTTCAAGACAAGTTGAAGAAAGACAGAAGGAGAGAGAGAGGGACGGGGAGAAAGATGAGAGTGACAAACTGAATAAAAGTTATATTTTTTCAGCATTTAATAGGGAGCATTTACTGCGCCTGTCCGATTTGTGCATGTGCACATTTATTTTGGCGTTTGAAGAAATTTTTGGCCATGGAACATACAGGTAATAATATAAGAGTGCCGAATTTATTTTTCCTTTTATTAGTTGAACGAATGAATATCCTTCGTTCGTTTCTCGAAGATAATTTTTTACATTAGTAAATACATAATGAAATGTTTTACTTGTATAATCCTTATCTACTTAATTTTATCCAAGTATTTTATTTATTCATCCAAGTACTTGGATAAATAGATTAACAAATATTCATATGCCGTATACATTTATATATAATTTTATTAGATCAATATTTTATTTTATATTCCTCGAAACTTATATGATAAGGATTACATATTATACAAATACATATAATAAGATGCTTTTAGGAGATATACAATTTCTGCAGGTTTTCCCCAATTATTTTTATTTTAACAATTATTCTAATTATTGTTACTTGCGTAAAAGGCCTTTCTTCGTGTATTTGCTACATTTCCTTTTGAACTGTTTAACCGGTTTCTCACTTTGCCCTCCGCTGTTTTGCGCTTTAGCAGTTTTGCTTTCAAGTTCCGTTATCGATCTCCTCATCTTGCCGTTGACTAACAGTCTGGCGGATTTCCTGGACGTTCTGTTCTTGCTCTTAACCCTTTTCTTTCCCTTTTTCCTCTTCTTCTTTTTACGGCCCATATTGGCGATTATCGTTTCGGCGTCCGCGGATATTTTGATCTTGGACTGGTGGGTGGCGATCGTCACCCTCGTGAAGGAATCGTAGAGGACGTCCCCGCAAAATTCACCAAAGCAGTATTCTTCGCCGCAATCTCTACAGGTTTTCGCACTGCTTTCGATTATCCCCGCGCGATTCTTACTTCGTCTAATAGGACTCGTTGGCGAACGGCGTTCCTTCATTACGGTCTTCGCTTCTAATTTGCCCATCTCCACCTTGAAGAACAAAGGGATTTGAAAAGATGAGCATTTTGCTTTTGCAAGGACACCGTTTTAAAATTGTAACGATTCCACATTAAGAAAATTGAAAAGTTAATCGCGTAAGATAGAGCCCCACCAGTCTCGAGAACATTTCTTCGTCTTGGCGAAGCTTCGGTCTGATCGGAGTCAGCATTCGCCAATCGATGGCGACCTGTTGCAACTCCTGCAGGTCCAATCCCCTCATATCCGGTGGGACTGGATCTCCGTAAGCCCATTCCCTGCCGATATTCTTGAGCTCCTTCTTGGTCGCTTTCCAAGAAAACTCTTTGTCGCGGACCTTCGTGTCCTCCCTTTTTACCTTCGTACAATTTTTTCTAATTAGACTTTAGTATCTCAATGCTAATCAAAATAGAATGCATAATAGAGATTTTAATATAATTGCAATGAACGGGGTGCAATATTTTGTCATATACTACAAGCTTGTATTGCGTCGTCATTAGAATGGCCGCGAACCTTTTCCGGTTTGATTTTAAACTCCGGACAGTTCTCCTTGAGTCGCCGGAATTCCTCATAAGAATTGCAAGTTGATTTACTCAAATCGGGTATCAAGTTCGCGTCTTTCTTGTCGTCCCTCAGTAGATCGTCCAATTGGAAGGCCATTATCTAAATCTGCAATGCGAGAAAGAGGTTTGAGCTCGTCTCGTCGTTTGCTCGAAGAAACAAACAATAATCCCCCGACAAGATCCCTTTCGCACTCGGCCTCACTTTCTACGTAAACGAAAAGAAAAACAAAAGGATGGTCTGACGGCAAGGAAATTCCGCAGGCGCTTAAAAGATTTCGGATGCAGCGGGTGAGACCAGACATCGCTCGGAATCCCACTCGATCTGCTTCATCAGCAGTCCCTGAAAAAAAAAGCGAGTGCATCTTGAGGAATATTGAAACTCTTCCATCGACAGTTCAAAATTCAACCTTGCAAATTAACCCAAACGTTTACTCCGAACTGAAGTACCGATATGGAAATTAGTACATTATCTATTTATTGTACGCACGCTTCTCAATGACGACAGTCTGGACAAAATTTCTTGTCCGCGCCAGACGTTAGAGCTATCGTCATCGGGTCGTATCGCGTGACTCGCATCGTTTTGCGACCGTAATTTATCGGCACGTTCCTCTATGTTAATCTTCCCGTCTTTGTCGATCCGCAGAGGCACAACGGAATTCAGACTGTCCATCGATAGATCGGCGTCGTAATTCTCGGCTTTCGCTTTACGCCTGATGGTGTTTCGACTCTTTGACTTTCCGTTATTTGATTTCCGCCGGTCGGGAGACGGAGACCTGGTAAAGATTAATTAATCTCGCCTTAGAATGGATCAAGTAGCGCGCAACCGTGCGTTACAATAATTGATTAAAGGAGCTCCGTCCTAAAAGTTCCTGTTGCGATAGCCTCATTTATTCATTATAATCTTATTGCTTTAATACATCCTTTAGCCTCTGATTATCCTTGAAACAACGTGTATCGATTTTTATTAAAAAATTCTTTTTAATCGTTTTTTAGAGTTTTAATTCGATTTTACCTTTTCGAAATTTCTTTACCTGGACCCTTCGTCGCTCGACTCGATCGGTCGCCTTCTTAATCGCAGTCGTCTCTGATAGTGCGGGTCTTTTTCGCTTTGCGTTCGATATCGTGTTCCTGGGCTAAGAGGATGTTTAATCGTTATCACATATTCGCGATATCTATGCCGAGCAAATGATTTAGGGACAGTTATATAGAGAGGAAAGTCCTCTATTATGAGATAGGCTTCTAATAGATAGCGGAGTTTTTGCTAAATTAATATAATAGACATCATCTGTTGGTTTCATCATGAATTTATTGCCCTTGGAGTGAAATCTGTTTAGTAGAAAATTGATTGTTCGATCGTGTAATCGTTGCGAAAAAAGATTTGTGATTGAATTTGGACGTTGAAAATCTGCTATCTCGTAATAGAAGACTTTTCCCTAAGCGTTGCCGTAGCATCTTTAATTACCGATTGGCGTTCCATCGTGGTCTGCTATCGAGCGTAGTTCTGGGCTGCGATTTGGATCGCGGAAGTGTTTTCATAGGGATTTCTTCACCGGAGCCCGCGTTATTCGATCTTCGAACAATTATAAACGCACTGAAGTATCGTAATTTTTACTGATAAATTTTTTTAAAGCAGTTTTTCTCCAGGTGGGAACGATAGCAGGTTTAAGCTTCGTCAAGTTTAGCAGCTGCGTTCAAGCTTCAAGCGGCAAACTCGAACGAAATCCGAACGGAAATAATATCACAAACAATGTGACGAATTAAGAAAAACGAAGTGTGGTTAAAATTACGCTTTCTATTCTCTCAAGAGAAACAATTAAGAGCATTCAACTTACTGGGTACTTTCCTCGCGCGGATTGACAGACATTTCATGATAAAGCGTCTTTACAATCATCAAGCTTATTATCAAACAACACAGTATGAAATGAAAACGATAATTACCGGCAAATACTACCGCATGCAGGGGAGGACACAGTCGTCGTTTCGGCTCTAAGAAGCCCGGAAATGCGACATCGAGATCGCGGTGGCGACTCACTTGTCAACGTTTCTTCGGTTGGCGTTCGTCGTGTCCTTCCGGTCCTTCGTGATACCTTGGTCTCTGATCGATTGATCCTGCAGCTTCTCCCGCAGCTCCTGAACGTCGGATTCCACGTCTGTTTGCGTGCCGAAGTCCCGACCGGCCGACGTTCTGTATTTGCTCGGCGTCAACAGTCTGTTCTCTACGACGATCGAGGGTGTGTCCCTTGAGGACCTCGTCGGGTTCCTAGGACTTCTGTTATTCCTCATGAGTGTGTTGAGCCCCAGCGAGAAATAATCCGCGCTGTCGAATCTGCGCGGGCTTGGCGTCATCACTAGGTTCACCAGTTGCAGATTCGCCCTGCTCAGGATCTCTGGGTCCTCCAGCCGGCCGCTCAGCACGATCGCCACGTCTTTGCTCACGGGAACCTGAAGAGACCTCGGGTTCAGATCCAGCGCGGCCTCTTCCGACTTGTCCGCGTAACTCATCCGTGAAGAAACTCCTTTTGGTTCCTTGTCGGTCTCGCTTTCTCGGTAATTGTCGGCCTCCTTGACGCCCTTTGGGCTGGACTTTTCCTCGGGATAATCGATCAAGTTCGCGCTTTGCTTCTGCGTCTGCGAGCAATTCTGTTCTTCGCGTTTGTCGTTCACGTTCGCCGTTGCGTTCGCCGTTGCATTTGCTTTATTGGAAGATTGCGTTACTACGTCGGTGTCCTCGTCGGTGTGCTCCTCTCGCTTCCGCCGATTCTTCCGCTCTTCCATTGCCAGCCGCTCCGCAGCTTCCAGCACCTCGCGCATCGCCTGTGCCTGCCTCAGCTTCGCCTCCTCCTTCTCTCGTGTCATCCGCTGCTCCCTCTCGAATCTGTATAGCGTAGCGTAATTTACTTTAATCTTTATTTTTCTAATATGTTAACTTATTTTACCTTTCTCTGTCTTTTTCTCTCTCTCGCCGGATTCGTTCTTCTTCCAACATCTCCTCCCTCATCCGTTGCTCTTTCTCCTCTTTCCTCTGCCTGTCCTTCTCCTCAAGCTGCTGCTTGATGGCGTTCTGAAGCTCCCGCGCTTTCTGCCGTCTCGTTTCCCGTTCGTGAAGAATATTCGCGTCTACTGGAATATTCTGACCCCGCAGATAAGATACTTTATTGATGTCGGAGCCGGTTGAGCCAGTCCTTGGACTGTCCGGGCTGCTGGCGCTGTCGTGATTGATTACCAGGACCTTGAAAAAGAGATGGACATTTTGATTAAATGATGAAAATCGTGGGATAGGCAAACAAATACTTCAATGTTGTATAGTTCTTAAGATTTCAGAGACGCTCAACAAGTTCTTAGTAATCATTACTTGGCTCGACTGTCCTAATCTTGATAGCCAAGAGGGAGGCGGTGGGTCGCCTCTCGCTGCGTCTTGACCCCAGACACCGCCCCACCTTGGCCTGTTGAGTTCGCCCATTCTGCCCGGCGAGAGCCTTCTCGACGGTGGCAGTGAACTCTCCGGGGTGGTGCAGTAAGGATTTTGCCACGTTTTCTCCGTCATTTCCATCCTGCTTGCTGCTTTGTCAGGCAGAGCTCCTTGAATCGAATAAAAAAGAAACACTTAATTTGACAAAGGAAATGATTAAAAACGAGATATTCTAAACTATTACTGTCATCTGTGAACTTTTTACTCATAGCATTCTCATTTATTTATCTGGATATTCGTCGAACAAGATTTTCTATTATGAAAAGTCGCTTTCAATTTTGTTCAACGGTACCCGTGCGCAATTTAGGGGCTAAAGTTCAAGGGAACTCACTTTGCCCCGGCTGCGGTACATCGACGGAGTCGCTGGCGTAACCGGAAGTCTCGCCTTCGCGCTCCTCGCCCAGCGAGCCGTAATGCCGAGCCTCTTTTTGGCTCTCGCGACGCTCGTTGGATCGATGGCGACGGTGCTCCAGTTTTTGCGATCTCTGTGGCTGGTATCGCGATCCCTCCACGCCGAAGTCACGCTGTTGCTGTTCCTGCGAGGCAAGACGATAATGATAAGGCGCCTTTGGGAAGCGAAAGGGAGGCTTGCGTGATCGGGTACGAGGGTTCCGGCTTTTCGTGAAGGAAGGAATTGTGTTCCGTCGCGTTCGATATACGTATTGTGGCTGGATATTACTATCGTACCTGCCGGAGACGGGACGCATACATAAATCATGCACGATCGGCTTCTTATTTTACCCGCTTACATACATAATGAAGCCGACACGGGCGGTCGCATGGCAATACTTGCCTTTAAAGTACCGAATAATAAGGAATAAAATACACGTATATATAACTGAGTTATTATACCCACTTACTTATTACATGCACTTTCTGCGTAGAAGCTTAATAATTCACTCGAGAAATACTTGCAATTAAAATCGCAACTTTGCATAATCGATAGTCCAGTATTTATTTACAAAAAAAGTAAGAAGGGTCGAAATGTAAAAAATTTAGTTTTCTCCAACTTTCAAATATAGAATTAAAAAAATTTTTTCTTAAAAGGAAGAAAAATAAGTTAGACTGCTACGCTGAGTTTTCCAGCCGCAGGGTAATTCAGTCGTAATATTTTTTAGAGCAATGACTGCGATAAAATCGGGTATGCGCTATCGGGCTCGTAGCAATCGCAAGGCTAACGGGGGCGAGCTTAATGTCCACTCGCCACTCTTAAGTTCGAATGCGAGGTGTATAGCCTTGAGGTCGTTGAACTTCAATCGCGCGATAAGAATCGATTTGCCGGACTGCCTTACTTTTGCTTTTCCCCCGCGAAAGGGCAATGTACTATCGAGGGACGTTCGCCATTTATGAAATTGTGATTAGAAACGTGATTGTTATTTGATGAATCGTCGAAGCTTGAATCAGAGCTCGGGTAAGAATATAGGCACACAATGAGTGCTGCGCTTATTCCGGTTGTAATTTCTATCTGTCTATTTACTCCGAAGAGCTGCATTGCTTCAAAGAAAGTTGCTCGAAAGGAAGAAAACAAATAACACCTCGATATAAAAATTAGATTTGTGAAGATTAATGTAACAAAGAAGATTTTCAATTGATCCCTGTTGACTTTCCCGGTATCCTCAATGTATAAATATAAATCTGTGCTATTTAATTATTCGATTCTTTTTTTTTAGCTCCGTGACATCGATGGGACATTGCTGCTGCACGCAAGTAGCTTGCGGTAAGCGATCAATTATTCAAGTAACAGCAATACTCTGGGATATTCCAGAGCTTTCATTCGTAGTAAAACCAATTCGTAATCGAACAAGGCAAGATTATTAAGGGGCCAATCAAATTTTTTATTAAAAATTTATTACCGAATTATGAACTTTGCGATAGACGGTAGGAAAATAGTTATCTTGACAGTTGATTATCCTCAACTTGAATGATTTAAGACATACTCAGTATTGCAGATACAAATATTGAGCTCCTTTTTCCAAATTTCTTCGAACTCATTTTACATTCTTAGAGCTAGGCTTATACAATAATTTATTATCGTTAGATATAAAGAAAATATGTACCAGCTGGCAGAAATACTGCTGTTGCTCCTTGTTGAAAATCGGAGGCAGACTGGGGCTTCTGTGTCTGACTTGCGAAGTCTCCACCTGGTCCTGAAGATTAATCAAACTGCCGCCGTTGTAGTCGAGGCACTTGAGGTTGCTTTTGTCATTCGCGGAACTTTCCGTTACCAGACTTTTCACACTGACGGTGCTCCCGTAATGTCCGGGAGCCGTACGAAAGGGTTGCACCGAAGGCCTGTCCCTTATTTCCCCCAAGGATAGTCGGGCCTCGTTCGAGTAAGTACTGTACCAGAAATTTCTCATATTATCAAGAAGTGTCAAGTTTATGCTAACAAAATTAATAATTTTTAAGAACTGCTAGGTAACCTGTTATCTCTATTGTTAAATTGCACAAAATAGTTAAGATTGAATTAAAGTTCTGATATAGAATAACGACAATATTTCGCAGTGATTGGCTACACTTACCGAATATGACTGTGGTTGTGATTACTATCAGTTTTCAGAGTTCCCCAATTAACACCCAGACGAGACATTTCCTCTGTATAATAAATAAAAAAAATACTTCTCGTTTAGATATGATCTTATTTTAGGTAGAATCTAATCCTAGCAAATAATTACGCAATAAATTAAAGTATTATTACACGTTCTGAAATTAAAAGCACAATGAAAGGAATAATTCTATGTAGCTGTTTGCTCATATATTCATGTCTTTACTCGTTTCATATATGTATATGTATATAATAATTAAATATAACAATATTAGAATTTTATCTCCCGATCTAGAAAACTTTACAGAACTTTGTAAAGACTCCGTTTACTAATTGCTTAACTGTAATTGTTGGTCGTTAGTTTACTTACCCCTTTCCCTCGCCCACTGGAGTTTCTTCTGTTCCATCAGCGACGTCCTCCCGGACATCCTCGCGCGCGATTTCCGCGGGAAGACGTAATGAATAAGCGCGGCAGCGACGATATGGACAATCGGAAAAGGCGAAAGAGGATCCTAACTAAATCCCCCAAACTAAACTCGCAATCATTGATAATCACGACTGCCTACCTATTCGGGAATCAGCAACGGCGAAAAAATTTCTTTCAGCAATACTCGGAACAATTTGGAACCAACTCCTCGTGCCGTTCGTTCGACAAATTGTTTCTACAAATCTATTCGCACATACTTCCGGGACCGATATTCTTTATCGCGAGACTTCAACACAAAATCGCACTGGTCCGAAGCGTATCTTTGTGTCTGGGGAAGTCAAATATCGAAGCTAACAATAAGTACCGTGAAAAGACGTACCATGCAAAGTTTAATATTGATTCTTACTGTGTTTTGTTTTTCTTAGAGAACATATCAAAATTTGATTTTTTATTTTAATCAAGACTCCGTTGCCAGGTAATTGATCGCCACTTGTTAATTAAATTTATCGGCGCCGTGGGATTTTGTTATCAAAAATTTTATGATGGAATATCTAAAATCTATTATAATTTGATTGATTATTTAGGCAGTACCTTTTTACTCCTTTTGACATTTTCATTAAACTTTTTTGGACATGGTTCGAGATTAGAATGATGTGAAATTCGGTCACTGGAAATTTTAAAAGTTTTCCATTTTTTCTTATCACTCCGAATGCGAAAAACTAATTTTTTAGTCACTGTCGAAGCGAATAAAATCGAGAACTTTGTTGAAAAATTCTCGTGCACCCCTCGACTGGTCAGAAATCGTTTCCGATGACAAATCGCGACCTAGTTTCAAACGTCAACCGACTTCCTCCCACGCGAAGTATTCCATTGTCTCGGGGGTGTTGCCAATAGAATCGCGAGAACGGTATTGTGCGTCAATAAACGAAAAAGGAAAGCCCTCTTTCTACCGGCGAAATCTCGTCTCTCCCGGAAGACAGCCGTTCTCCAGATTCACGAGGTTCTGCGGCTTCTCGCCGCGTCAATATTTGTGCTACTGCGGAGTTCGCGCGTTATAGCTTCTCCGGGTGCCGAAGAACTCCGGACGACGGGGGTACGAATTCGATCGCGGGTTTCCATAGGAACTGTCGCGCGTTGAGTCGCACTCCCTTGCACCGCGTCCTCAGGGTCGATAATATTGACCGTGTCGCGATAAGGGATAATGACCTCCACTTTCGCGGTCAGAGATCACATTCTCGCGCCTGTAAACCTCCCCCGTCGTCGGAGCGCGACGAACTCTCCCGTGAAAGTTAATCGAAAAGAAATATATCGGAAAGATAAATTGAAACGATACTTTATCGGATGCTCAATAAAGATTATAACGCTAGGCCTCCATCACAAATCTTTTTCTCTAGCGTAAACTCGTAAAAAGCGAAAGATTTCATTAACGAATTCAACGTTTGTCAATAAAAATTTTTACTTTTTACAAGTCCATGGGAGAACATAATCGGCAAAAAGGTCGCACTACCTAAAATACCAATAATTATTCAGCGTTTCCAAGAATTGAAATTGCAAGATTTTCAAACTTTAAATCGCAAAAATCAAGAATCTCAAAAAACTGGCAAAGTATCAGGAAAG